TGCACGGCTCGCCCCGCAGCGCCGCCTCAGCCGGGGAACTCCGGCAGGCTCCGCAGGAGCCCAACTCTCTCTAGTCCCAGTATTTTTAGAAATGACCCTGTTGCTGCAATGTATTACAGAAGAAACAAATGCACCATTATATAACATTAATGCAATTATATTGCAGTCTTTGCCCTAGATGGACAAAAGCAGCTACTAAGATTCAGGCACTTCAAGGGGCAAAAGCCAACAGGCAGCCGACAGCGAGTGCATACCGTGCACAAAAACAGGGGTATAACAGGCTGTTCAAACTGAGGATATCCCCTTACTCCATCAAAAAGCTATGCATATATAAATCTTGACGGATTTGCAGCATGAAAACAAATCGCTAGGCCACCAGCTGAGATTTCAACTCATTCTGAGCCACTAGTTATCCTTGAACAGTTCCTGCAAACAGAGATCTGTTGCTGACTGCATAGCAAAGCGGGGAAGGGGCAAGACAAATATTGTAGTAACCTTCGCAAGCAAGCTGCTCGGTATTGTGGAAACCGTCCTCTGCCCTTTCTACTCTCTGGGGAAGTCAGCGCTGATTACGGAAACACATTTGATAGTAAGATGCCCCAGAAACTGACTATTTTTTTTTTCTATTTTTAACATTTATTTTAATACTTTAAACAAATATTTAATTTGTGATATTATCTTTCCATTTCCATTCTTTGCTATGTGGAAGAAGTATTTAATAGACATACTTTGATGTAAGCACAGATTCACAGACAGATTATTTTCTTCTGAACAAACTTGTTTCTGTAAATACAAGCGCAAGGCAAACATAACTGGCACAGTCCTGCCTGTGGTAACAGCTGTGATTAAATCATACCTGCTGCTATTGTCAGGGATGTTTATGAAGCTCCACCTTGCAATGAAAGGGCAAACAACTGTGACTACACCCATATTTTAGCAGCAGCAGGATACAGATGTTAAATTCTGGACTGCACTGGCCTCACATTCCCTTCAACTGTGTCAGTGGCCTCAGAGCTGCTCATTATTCATTTCTTTTCTAGTTTTTCAGGTTCCTGAATATGGAGAGCATTTACTAGCCTCTTCGTTTTTGCAGTTGTATGTATTTGAAGAAAAAAACAAGTGTAAAACACATCGCTTGAAGTAGACTGCTTTACAACATTCCCTTTTCAAGCATTTTCTAGGGTTTCTTTAGATGAGAATACTCACTGTTGACAGAAAATCCTGTGGCATGACCTCGGTATGGGGAGAAGTGTCAGCCGCTCCCCTGCGAGGAGGACGGCTGCGACGCAAGGCAGGAACGGTGGGGCTTTAACCCGGGCTCCCACGGCCCACTCTGTGCCCTGGGGCCAATCACTTCACTCCTCCGCACACCAGTAAACCATCGACAGGGGACTATGTGATCAAACTGATATCTTTAATAAGCTTTTTATGTGCTTTAGAAAGTAAATGGTGATACTTAAATATATAATCCTCTTGTCAAATAGTAATGTAAAAGGGCAGAGTTAAGCTAAATATTGCTAATTATTCTTAAAACCTTGGGCAACTTGCACATTCAATTGTTAATATTTTCATTTCATTGTTTTCTCTCTTGATTGAGTGTCTTAAAGTTCTTGTTTCTTCGGAATTCCCTTCATGAGACTGCAGAAAAATAGCTTTTTAAACTTGTCACTTACTGATAAAGCATGAGAACTTGACAAGTTGTTCCTAGGCAGAGAAGGCTAACGTATTATCTCTCTGTTCCGTAGTATAAAGGTTTGGCATATACAGTACAAGCAGTCTGGGCCTTTTGGAAGCTACTTCATAGTTCAAAGAACAAACTCATTTTTTAATGTATTCATTTAATGACCTCAGTTTCTCCTTCAGCATTACAGTTGTGCAATCTCCATCCTTGGAAGTTTTCAAGATCAGACCAGCTAAAGCCTTAAGCCACCCACTCTGGCCTGACAGCTGACCCTGCTTTGAGCAGGAGGCTGGAGCTGAGCTCCCTTCCAACCTGAATTATCCTATGACCCTAGGGGTGCTCTTTCAAAAATTCTTCTTCCAATGAAAATTAGGATTTCTCAGGGTTTTCGTTTCTGTTTTAGCACATTTTTCCAAGAGATCATTTTATGTTCTGAACGTTTTCAACTTCACTAACTAGCTTTCTAAAATATTTTCCGTCTCCAGTGGAGCTCACTTTTTCCAACTGCTTCAATAATAGCGGTGAACTTTATTATGTCCTTTTCCCCCCTTCTGCTGTCTGATAGGAGGCATTACTGCCATTTGGAAAATTGTGTGCTTCTAGATTTTTTATTCCTTTCTCCAAGAGATACTGTAAGAGCCCTAAAAAGCAGGACAGCTCTGCACTCACCTGTATGAGAATTTCTCCTATCTTTAGAAGATAATTAACTTGAAAACAAACTAATTTATATACAAAACATAGTAAAATGACTGACTCCAGAGTCAGGAACCAAAAGAGAGAAGCCAGAAAATGAACAATTAAGACATATTCTTTTTTACTTCCAACCTGTCTATATTTAGAATTTCAGCTAAGTGTCATCAATATTTTATAGGCTTTTAAGCGCCATGCAATATCCAAGCATAGACTTTTAGTATTTTTGCTTTTATGGATTCAACATCTGTAATGCTAGAGCAAAATATCTTTTTTTCCTTGCAAATATAAGCTGGTATAAATGGCTCTAGTGAGTAATTTTCCTTAAGGGCCACTACATAAGTCTGGCATATTTTCTGACTGTCCACATTATTGAAGGTTGCTTACAGCTCAGAGCAAAACAGTGAGCACTGCCATCCTCATGATCAAGCAGCCAAGGAGACAACTGCTCTGATAGCTACAGAAAAAAGAAGTCTCTGTTTTCACAGACCCTTGTACGCTTCTCCCTTTCTTTCCAAAGCCTGTCAACCCGTACAGCGGCAGGGTGGGGGCTGGACACGAGAGTGACGCAGCCCACACATGACCAGTGAATCAACGCTGCATGCATCCTGTGATAAAACCACTTTTGCCTCCTTTTGCTGGGGCCGCTCAGCAACGAGACCTTTCAAAATAAGTTCGCACCACCCTGCTCCAATACCTCTTCATCCCTGTAGTCCACGCCTTGGAGATTTTAGCACCAAGGATTGTGGGATTGAGCCCTACTGGAAAGCAATAAATCATGATGTCAAACTTAATAATTTCTATGATTATCTGTTCATCCTCTCACCCAGTTCCTCCAGGATAGTCGGCGCCATTCTCCAGCTCGGACAAGCCACAGGGAAGAAGCACTGGTAAGCCATTTCACCGTCATGACGGGCACTATCAACAACCCGCTGCGCATCTCAGAGATACAACTATAGTATACCGGAGAATCAACAAAAGAGGTGCTAAAATGAGGGCTGAAAGGTGGGAAACGCTTCGTTTGGGGACTTAGTTTGGTATCCAAACCTACTTTCTTCTAAGAAAACTTAACCCACAGACCAAACTGAATCCAGTACAGTCAAAAAGTGGCGGATATTTTACAACAAAAATACGGACACAGGACAGTTTTCCTGAGAAAAAAACAAACAACAAAAATAAAAATGCAAACAGCCTCTAAAACAAGCAGTGAGGACACCCGTGACAAGTATCTTTTGTTCATATGAGATATCCATGGCTCTTCGCCACAACCCCCAAGATTTTTCTGCCTTAGATAAAGACTTGCCAGCCAGAGACAGTTTTCCTCAAGTGCTTAATGGAGTGCTTCTGCTGCCTTTCATTTGGTACTGAGAGAGATTTTCTCCTGTGTCTTGTGGACGGGTAAATACTATAACCTCGGCAATGCAATGGTACAAGATGCCTGCTTCGTAAGAGTGTATTTCAGCCCTTTTTTCAGATGTTTGTAAAATGGTGGTGTCCTTAAAAGAACAACCCCATCACATAGAGGACTAAAGAGAAAATCTAATTTAACTAAAGAGCCCTACAGCTACCTTAGTTCAGACTTGTTCCCAAGATAAAATTGCTGGGAGCCAACTACTGACTGCCGCTTCCTTCTTTGCTTTCTGTTGCTGGCAAGATTGAATCTATTTTTTTGCTGACATGCCACTTATAATATGCTGTGAAATGCAGACAAAATGCAAAGAGAAATCACAAGCTGTCTTGATAGACATTCG